GATAATTTCGAGAAGAAATGCGGCCGTTTTGATATTAATTAGGTAATCCGAGAAACAAGTACATGCACACTGAAGTCTCCTGGACTCGCTCGCATGTGATTGGTCAGCGCGCGACAACCCTCACTCCTCATTGGCTGTTTAGACTGTCAATCACATAAATCGGAGATACGTTACTTATTAAGTCAAAAAAAGTTGCAGTGTCTCTCAGTTTGAAAGAGTTGATATTTTTCGTAAAATATATGTATATGTAATATATGAAACTAAAAAAAATCAATAATAGATGAGAAAATAATTGTGTTGTGCAAGATGGTGTTTTTTGCAGGTAGGTTTAGTAGGCCTATTTGGTGGATGAGGTGATTCTCATTATATTTTCTTGCAGGTGAACAAATAGTGATCATACAGAACATTATTTCATGCTTTCCTGTTTTTTTTTTATCTCGAAACCCCTCAAAAATCCTTAAAATACCCATCAGTTGTGGCAAACAATGATTCTGCCATTTATGTTATGAATGCCTTAGAGTAGAACCGCATTAGCAACATGAAGCATATGGCACTGCTAAAATGAATAACGCGCAGATGAAGTCATTACAAGTTATAGGTGCATTAAGTGGTCTAATGATGACAAAGTTTGGGCAAAGACAATAAGTAGCATGATATTCTGTGCTGAAGGATAAAGTGAAGGATAATTTTGCGAATCGGCAGCGAGAGGAGTATTGATGGATGTGAGCAGCTTCAGCCCACTATATCTCACTGCTGTTTCTGTTTAAGAACCATGGGACACCTCGAATGCTGACAGTAACCAGCTCAAATTGGCTCCTGAACACAGCCTGGGTTCCACCATTGGTGAGGGGGGTCTTAGAAATGGCTATATACCTGGGTTGGGGGTCGACAGGTCCTGTACGCTGGAGACAAGCGGCTCAAATGTGGCTGCATCATTACTGATGCTTCTGCAAAGTCCTGCTAGCATGAAAACAGAGCTAGACCACTTTGATGAGAACCTGCTGTGAAATCTGAGAAGGAAAGGCCTCTAGAAACGATTGTTTGGCCCAGGGTGTTTATAGATAAATAAAACTACAACTGTAAACGAACATTTTCATCACTTGAAATATAATAGACATTACCTGAAATACATTTTTAATAAATGCCAAACTCAAAGTAATTGGACTCTGCAAATTATTTAAAAGTTAATTTTCAGTAAGTTGGATGTTAATGAAGTGCACTTGTCAAGGACACAAATGAACTCGGTTTCAATTTTCAATTTCTGAGCAGCGGCAATTGACTATGGACGATAAGATAGCAGGATTTTTTTTTTCATTAAATAAAACAGCTAAGCCTTTACATTGTATCATTTATTTCTAGCCTACTACTCATTCAGCTCAGTTTCATGCAGTCAATGGTGAACAGAAATTAATCTCAGTGTCTGGTCAGTGGGATCAACATTATGAAAATTAGTAATGATTGACACCCAGAGGCTTTAGCTTGGACAAACACACCTGCTGTTTTAAAAGGAGTATTATTTTAAATCTCTTCCAGGATTAGATTTAAACTCTATTCCTCAGAGATAAATAAAGGATTATAAAACTACAGATTGGGGATTTAAAATGTTTTTTTTTCTTGAGACCTTTGAGGCTGTGCACTACTGCAAATACTAAAACATCTTAGTGCTTATCATTTCTCATTTGAATGCTTATAACTAAATTCCTTTATGTGTTCTTTTGAATAGAGGAGACTGGAGACTGCAGATGGCAAAATAATTTTTCTTAAAGGGATAGTTCACCCAAAAATGAGAATTCTGTCATAAATTATTATTAATAATTATTAATTGTTCACCCTTTCCAAACCCGTCAAATGAAGATATTTCTGATGAAATCTGAGAGCTTTCGGTCCCTCCATCAACAGCTACACAACTGACACTTTAAAAAGTTTATAAAAAGTGATCGTAAAACGATCAAAACGATGAAAAGTGGTTTAGTCCAAATTTTCTGAAGAGACTCGATCGCTTTATTTGATGAACAAATGTAATTTAGACTTTTATATTCACATATATAAACAACTCACGCATACGTTTTGCTAAAAGGAAGCTCAAGCTAGCTTGATGTGCAGGGAACCAATGAGATTCATTCTCGTGTTACGCTGCACGTTTGAGCTTCAGCAAGAACCTAGGGGGTAATCCATCGACCGGAAGTTGAAGCCTCGCAGGAGTTGCCATCTTGTAGCAGAACTTGCGTTGGCATTCCCATTGACTCCCATTCATTTTGGCGTCACTTTGACAGCGAATAACTTTACATCTGAGGCGTTTGAAGACCCCATTTGTAGTTTATTTATTTCTAAAGAAACACAACAATGTATAAAATGCTCCATTACCTTGTAGCTTATGTTATGGCCCCGTAGAAGCAGTTTTAGTGAAAGTAGGCTAACGATTGCGTCATACCCACGCGACTCTCTGTCGCACAGTAAAGAGATTACCGTATGGACAGGAGAAGAAGCTCACGCTCAATCGGGGGAACGTGGAGGCAAAATGACAAAATAATTAATCAGAACACCTAGCAAAAGTGCCCCCTGCTCCTAGCTCCTATTCACACTCTCCGCCTCTGCGAGTTTCGGAAGGGAATGATTCAGATTTCTCATACCACAGCACTAGAAGACAGACGGGTTGCTCTCGTCACATTACGTAGTCAAGCTCAGTTTGAGTCTGCGCGTCAGGGATGGAAGTGCTAAAAAAATCAGTAGCACCTCAATGCAGAACATGAGATCCACGGGGAGGAGTCGGATCACGATCCAAGGGGTGGAGATGGGTAGGTTTAGGGTTGGGTTTAGGGATTAGGGGTGGGTTTAGGGATCAGGGGGTGGAGTTGGTTAGGTTTAGGTGTATGTAAGGTGGGAGGAGTTGGATCTGGATCCGACTCCTCCCCATGGATTTCATGTTCCGCAGCGAGGACCATCTCAAAAAAATCGCCAAAAACGGGCTTCAATCATCTGAATGGAGTTCCAATGAGATCGCTCTGTCCATTTCTTTTACTGTCTATGGCAAGAACCAATGAGGTTCATTCTCGTGTTATGTTGCATGTTTGAGCTTCAGCAAGAACCAATGAGGTTCATTCTCGTGTTATGTTGCATGTTTGAGTTTCAGCAAGAACCAATGAGGTTCATTCTCGTGTTATGTTGCATGTTTGAGTTTCAGCAAGAACCAATGAGGTTAATTCTCGTGTTATGTTGCATGTTTGAGTTTCAGCAAGAACCAATGAGGTTCATTCTCGTGTTATGTTGCATGTTTGAGCTTCAGCAAGAACCAATGAGGTTCATTCTCGTGTTATGTTGCATGTTTGAGTTTCAGCAAGAACCAATGAGGTTCATTCTCGTGTTACGCAGCACGTTTGAGCTTCAGCAAGAACCAATGAGGTTCATTCATGCAGGTTCAGTTGAGCTTCTGTTTGTGTTCGCTGATCAATGTTTAAATAAATGGGAATAAAAGCCTGAATGAAATCTGTTCATCATATAAAGCAATCGAGTCTCTTCAGAAAATTTGGAGCAAACCGCTCTATTCATATGGATAGATTTTCGATCTCTTTATGAACTTTTTGAAGCATCAACGTGTCAGTTGTGTAGCTGTCAATGGAGGCACAGAAATCTCTCCGATTTCATCAAAAAGATCTTCATTTGTGTTCCAAAGATGAACGGAAGCCTTACAGGACAACATGACCGTGAGTTATTAATGACAGAATTTTCGGTAACGCTTCCTTTAACAGTCCAGTTACCCATGTAAATGTATTTTAGTAACTACAATTACTGGGTAATAACTAGTACTAACCCTGAACCTACCCCTAAACCTACTACCCCTGTTCCATGTACTTACCTTATATTAGCCAGTACTTTCTAAACTGTACACTGTAAGTAGCCTACTGTACCGTAAAAGGAAGCGTTACCGAATTTTCATTTTGGGTGAACTATCTTTAAATGTCAAAACAGTGCTTTCCTTTAACTTTTTTTAAACCTTTTGGAACCTTTATTTTGAAGATTGTAGGCATTCACGCATTACTGTGTGAACTGCTCAGGAGGCGAGTTGCAAACGATCTGAAAATAAGTTGGCTTCAGAATCGAACAGGATAACAATAAAACTACCCTATACATTACCTGCTTATATACGTCCCTGTGGGATGAACGCAGAGATGCTGCTGAAGTGGAAGCAGTTGGTGATATATCGTGTTTGTTTCTGCGTGTGTGGTGGAGAGAATGAGAGAGAGGTCTCCGGGCCAACATGTTGGTGACAGACACTGTTTCGGGTATAAACCTCATAAAGATCAATGTAAGCCAAAAGGATGGCTTTGAGATATCATTTAATAGTGTAGAAACTATTATCTTGAAGTAATTGGCATGAACCATATTTGACTTTTTCACGTTTATTTTTAGTTGTTTGAACATGAATAAACAGAGAGACCAGAGCACATCATTAGCTAATCAGTTAATTAAGGGAGATAGTGGAAATGTAATATTGATGCATGCCAAGTCATTTGTAAGAAATAAAGATGTTGTGACCATTTCAATCAATATGATCAGCTGGGTTAAAGTCCAGCTTAATTACAAAATAAATCAACTATCTATGCTTGTCAGTAAGGATTGATTCTAATGTTATGTTTTTCATTGCCAATAGGTGGCGGTATGGGATACCCTGTGTTGTGAGGGTATATGTGATTTATAATGAATTAAACATCCTACAGTTAGTGCTATTGATACTAATTGGTGATATACCGTATTTCCATAAATGTTTAACATTTTGAATAAACAATTTAACATTAAAATCCTAACAAGTTATTAATTTCTTTAGAAGTCTTTAAAATCAGCACTGAATGTTATTGTTATGTGTTTTTCTGTTAGTATCTTTGCAGTGTAATGACTCGTTTGCAGGCCGCATGACTGCAGTTTTCAGTGTTGCAGTATGTGATCATATTTGATTTGATTTGTTATGGTTTGTCGTACTTTGACACAAAAGATGAGACACAATGTTTGCTACACATCTTTATTGTGGGTTGAATCGGTAGAAGTTTTTAAACATAATTCGTCATATATTTTAAATGATTTCTCTAAAGCCGCACTCCGTTCTCGGTAATCCTTACCGACTTTTGCTTGTTTTTGGGCCATTCTTTGGCGCATACGGATCAAGGAGAAACTTCCAAGAGTTTTCCCAAGCGCTCAGAGATATAGACACCATTGCAGGCTCATGGCTTTTAAAATTATTTGAGAATTTCCAAGATTCCATCCATTCTGCAAACTTTCCTTTTCCATCTTCATCTTCCTTGTTGCCAGATCCAACATTACGCCTTGGTCGTGGTTGCGTCTTTGCTATTTTACACGCATCGCTCCATCTCTTCTGTTGTGGTTTCTGCTGATCTATGTTTGAGTAAATGTGCTTTCTTTTTGCTGCAGCCTTTGTCATTATCACAGATTCATCCTCAGACGCAGGAGAGTTTTTCCCGTGCTTTGAGTCAAGGTCCATCTTCATGAACCTCCAGGACTTGCCCCAGATTTGCAGCTTCAAGTCTTTGACCAAAGCAGAAGGTAAATAATGGATGCGTTTGTGTTTTGACGAAAGGATCACGTCTTGAGCACTGAATGACTTTGGCTTTGCATCAGGCCATGAGGCGATGTTCTTTGGTGGTTGTGGGTTTGACATCTTCCATGATCGACCCCAAACTGACCTGCTCTCGATCTGGACGGATTTGAGCATTGCAATGCCACTGACATCCGACGTTACCCGCAAATTCAAATAACATTCACCTTGTCTTTGGTAAAACTCTGTGCCAGTAAACATCCAAGAATTATCCCAATCTAGAACTTCTTTTTTTATGAGATGTGCAAGTCCTGGACCATCAGACCTCTTCTTAACCCTCCATGAGTCATTCCACTCTTTCGCGGGAAGTCGTTCTTTGAAGGTCATCACAAAGGCATCTGAAGCTCTGCGAAGTTCCTTTCTGCCTTTGATTTCCATTGATTTCTCAAACCAGGTATGTTCAGGCTGCACATTCTCCAAGCTGGAGGACCTCCAAGAATCCGTCCACTCGGTCATTGAGGGTCTATCTTGATGAGTTGATGATGTCCATGATTGTTCCCAGTCTGCCACAGATCTTGCGTATGTCTGTTGGCGCACTGACTGGGTTGATGCACCTTGCCCATGTCTTGCCAGAAGATGCTGACGTCTCGTAGTCCTCCAGGACTCGGCCCAGGTAGGAGCCCCTGCTGGTCCATTATGCGGGAAATCCTCATTTTCTAGCACTCTTCTTATAGGTCTGGGCTGAGCATTGGCGGACCAACCCTGCTGCCATAAAGTGCTGTCTTGATTGAGAGGTAAGTTTGTGAACCTCCAAGAACTGGCCCATTCAGTGAGAGTTTGGGATGTGGAGGAAAACTGTGGACGTCTCAGGTTCCTTAATGCTCTTTCTTCTCTACGCTGGCGTTTCAGCATCTTCCAAGAATCCTTCCAGTCCGTTTGCTCAGAGAACTGGAGCATCTCTCCCCGCTTTTGGATTCTTGGCAAAGCAAGTACGTTGAATTTCACATGTTCACTCTGTTGCTTTAAATGGTCTGGTTTCGGTGTCTCAACCTTCACGTCCACCTCCCCACATTCAGCTTTATTTATCTCTTCTTTATACTCCGAAAGATTTTTTATGGTCGTCCATGATTTTTCCCAATCAGACGGCGGTGCATCCCTCCCACCAAACTGAATTGTGTGCTTCATCTCTCTAGGCACATTCATTATCGTGTTGCAGATGTCAGGATGCAGTTCAACAGGCACCACAGCTTGAGACTCGATTAATTTCGTCCCCTGTTGTGATATGGTTTTTGCAACCCTCCAAGATTCACTCCATCCCAAGTTATTACCTGTTTTTGACTTCATATGAAGCTGCTTCTTTAAGTACATCCAAGAATTTTCCCATGGTAATTCAGGTTGAGTTTCCTCATTAGTTGAGGGCTGAATTGAACCGGGCTCGGGCATGATATCACCTCCTTTCACAGGCTTCATTGTCTTCCAGGATTCGTGCCAGTCTGATGCACTTTCCTGATTCTGATCCCTCCACAGGTTGTAAAATGTGTTGCTATCACTTTTATTAGTGCCTTCGTGAGACTCTTTTGGTTTCTGAGTGAAAATCCAAGACTCCTCCCATCCTGTTTCAGCCAGAGCTTGTTGATTGAGCTCGGAGACAAATGCTTTGCTGAGCGTCTCCCACAGAAACATGTCATTGGAGCTCATATTGTTGTTGGTGTCAAACCCAAGATCAAACCAGGGTTTACCGTCAGTGATTGGCTGAAGATTGAGAAACTTCCATGGCTGTCCCCAGTCGAACGCACAGGGATTTTCTTCAGGTTGTGGTAAAGGCTTCGAGAACTTCCAAGACTTGGACCACACCATCAATCCCGGGCAGCTTTCATTGAGGTGACGTAACAGGGCTAGTTTGTTGGCTTTGGTTGTTTTCGTCACGTCCACTTGCCTCTGAATACGACTACTTTGGAAACCTTGAGGCCTTCCCAGGTGTGTCTTTTTAGCCTTGTGTGCATCAAGAGTTGATTCTTCAGGAACCTTTGCTTTTCTCTCCAGTCTTTTAGGGGTTTTTATCTTGGAGGACATGCGCATCTGCCAGTCTTGATTGATTCTATGAAAATTTTTATTTGAACGGACAACAAATGAAAATGGTTTCTCATTAATTATGAAATAATAATGATGAACGATAGCTGTTGTTATTAAAATTAATATTAACGCAATTAAGGTTGAAGCAACCACAAGCACATTATTAGTTCTGAATGGCCTTTTTATCTACATACAGAATAGGCAGAGAGGCAGTTGGGATCAAACATACAAATGCTGCATTCGTGCCATATCAGAGTTACTGCAATTATGAGATGAACTTTTCTTGTGTTTGTCAGAAATAATTTTTTTTTCTATATCAATGCTCAAAATGCATCATTGTGCATTTCTCCAACTTGCAAAAAGATGTGTGTTTTTAATGGGGTTAAAATTGTTGCATTAAAGCAAATAAATAGATTGAAATTCAGAAATAAATGTAAAGAGTTTCACAAAAACTAATAAAATGAGATTTGCAAATAAAATCGAAATTACAATCGTGTTTCATGCGTGCAAACACAACTCTGCGTGGCGTTCATTTGTGAATAGCTTGCTGTGCATTTGTAGATCACTGCACGTATTTGTGAATTTTGAAACATTTTTAGTGTCAAAGACGTGAAGACTAATCCACAAATAATTGGACTCCACCCACCATCTCCTTAAACCAATCAGATAACAGCCATTTGCACTGAGCACGCTCTTGCTCCAACCAATCGAATTTTTGTGATTTTATTAATCTGCACTGGCTCAAATGGGAAGTATAAGGCCTATAAAATTGGTGCAGTAAAACATGTTTAAAATTTGGAAACCAAGCCACAGTATTACATTTTATAAACCTTTAAAAATGTCAGAGAAACAGCATTCAGTCTTGTGATATACATATGTAGTTGGTGAAATTGCTGGCACACAACAGCCAACAGCATTTCACACTTCTTCAGTTAAGCAGTTTTAATGACGCATATGAGCAGCTCCAGGGATCTAAGGATGTATAGAGCATTTTAAATATTTTTTTAAACATGAAATACATGTATTCCGATTCCTTTTGTTTGTAGAGAATATAAAAGGTGGGTTCTTTTTTTTAAACGTGTAACAGGTTTCTGCTTTCTGAAGGCATTTAACACATGATAAAACACATCATTATGTAAAAAGAAATATTATTTGTGAATTTGATTAATTTTTGTGAATCTCAATTTATTTGGAATAAAGCAACGATTCTAACCCCATATTATGTTTATAAGTTGGAAACTAATAATTACAGTAATTTTGACATGGCATGAGCATAGATATTACAAAACTACGGAAGAGGATCAGGGCCAAGCAATAATAAAAAAATAAAACCATCTCGAGATTTAAGTCATTATAATGCGAGATTAAACTCGTTAAATTTCGAGAAAAAAAGTCGAAATACAATCTTGAGAATAAACTCATTAAATATCGAGAATAAAGTACTAGTGATCCATGTCTGCCATGTCCTCTATCAGTAGGCTGCAATGAACACTGATCGAATGCATTATTCTCTACAATTCATTTCGGCTTTTTTTTCTCGAAACACGACTTTATTCTCAAAATTTAATGAGTTAATTCTCAAGATTGTATTTCAATTTTTTTCTCAAAACACAACGACTTTATTCTTGATATTTAATGAGTTTATTCTCAAGATTGTATTTCAACTTTCTTGAAATTTAATGACTTTTTTCTTGAAACACAACTTCTTTAATCTCGAAATTGAATGAGTTTATTCTCAAGATTGTATTTCAACTTTTTTCTTGAAATGTAATGAGTTTTTTCTTGAAACACAACTTCTTTATTCTCGAAATTGAATGAGTTTATTCTGATGATTGTATTTCGACTTTTTTCTCGAAATTTGACGAGTTTTTTCTCGAAACACAACAACTTTATTCTCGATATTTAATGAGTTTATTCTGAAGATTGTGTTTCGACTTTTTTCTCGAAATTTAACGATTTTTTTCTCGAAACACAACGACTTTATTCTCGATATTTAATGAGTTTATTCTCAAGATTGTATTTCGACTTTTTTCTCGAAATTTGACGATTTTTTTCTCGAAAACACAACTTCTTTATTCTCGATATTTAATGAGTTTATTCTGAAGATTGTGTTTCGACTTTTTTCTCGAAATTTAACGATTTTTTTTCTCGAAACACAACGACTTTATTCTCGATATTTAATGAGTTTATTCTGATGATTGTATTTCGACTTTTTTCTCTAAATTTAACAAGTTTTTCTCAAAACACAACGACTTTATTCTCGATATTTAATGAGTTTATTCTGAAGATGTATTTCGACTTTTTTCTCGAAATTTAACAAGTTTTTCTCAAAACACAACGACTTTATTCTCGCATTATAATGACTTTAATCTCGAGATGGTTTTAATTTTTTTATTATTGCTTGGCCCTAATCCTCTTCCGTACAAAACTGTATGAATTCCAAAGGGTTAAAATATTTTCATCAACAAAATATCAACAAACTGCCTCAAATGTACTTTAAGACATTTTTGAGCCACAAAGTTGTTTTTATAAATACTAAGTTGGTCATTTTAGACATTTTAGAGGTTTTTTTTCTTTCTGATTGACAAATGCAGTAAAATGAGAGATTGGGCAGGTCCTCACCTTTCCAGAGCACTCTTCCGTACCCTCTCCTCTTCCAGCTGTCGTTTCTGTCGATGCTCCCTCAGTCTGATTTCCCAGACATCCTTCATAATTGAAGAGCCATATACTAACACCTCTGCGTTTTTTTCCATTATTGTAGAGACTCCTGCTGTAAGCGGAGATGAAGCTGTCAGTGGAAGAACGAAATTGGATTTTACAAGACTGCAATGTTCCCTTGCATAAACTAACCATAAAATGTGCATTTGTTTACAATAGCTCATCTAATAGCATGCATTTGATTAAGCAATTTCATTTAACCAGGGCAGGCAATTAAATATAAACACAGTACAAAACAAATGCAGACAAAAAAAAACTACTATTTGGGACATTTGCACATTTTATAGAATACATTTAGCAGGGAATCATCACTTATCAGGCAAAAACAATACCACATGAAATTGCTTCCGTGATTAATTCTAAAATAGCGTAACTAGATCGTTCTTTCATGCTATATTTAAAAGCAATAATCGTGTTAACTGCTAGCAATATTAATTGCAATTTCATAAGTGCACAGCATCCAATCCTACAGTCCTGTCAACATAAAAGAGTATTACTCTGCAATAATGAAATAAAAAAATACATGTTTACCCGTCTGACTGTTCTCTGTTAAATGAGCATCTGGCTTCAGAAGCAGCTCGTATAAGTGTCAATGTAACTTAACTGGGCCGTGTAAGCAGGGCTCTTGACCCGGCTATTTATAACACCCTGCAGGACGGTTGCCACGTGGCTTTGTAACTCGTTAAAGAAGTGCTTGTCTGCATTCATTTCAAAATATTCTTTGTATATCATGGTATACTGTACTTGACCAGATTCATGTGAACCTGTGACATGAGTCGCTACAAGGATGTTCTCACACTTGTATAATGATTAACGTTGAGGAATGAAGATGTCGGATTTCACAATGAAAATGATGGAGCTGGTAATACACTGCTGAATTTAGGTTGTACATGACACAGTTACTAATTAATAGGGAACTTTATTCCTTTGAATTCGGATGGAAGGATCAAGTACAGTGTTTCAGGGCGGTGCGCTCAATATAGCCACTAGAACATGATGATTGCAATGAGGTTGAAATATGTTATGAATGTACAATCTGCACATGGAAATGACTGGCCATACAGTAGTGAGTAAAAATAACCATGAGCCATAAAGTTCTTCATTTTAAGCTGACATGTGCGTACACAGCATGCAGATAATCAAATATTTAAATAACTAATTTTATTGAGCTGTTGTACATTACTGTACTGTTGCATGTACTGTTGTACATAGAAAATTTGATTTCAATTCAGTATCCCTTATTATCAAGTTTGCATTCATATTATTTAGCTCTTTTATCCTCAATGCTGTTTTTTTTTTTTTTTTTAAAAATTAGAAACTAATAAGTACAGTAATTGCACGAGCACAGCAATATTCTCAGATATTAAAGAGATAGTTCACTTTGAAATTAATTTTTGATATGTTTTAGCTTACCTCAAGGGCATCCAAGATGTTGGTGTCTGTTTCTGCAGTAGTTTCATTTTTGATATTTTTAGGTCAAACCGTTCTTGTCTGTCAGTCATATAATGGAGGTCTATGGTCACCACCTCGAAGAGCATGCACAGAGAAGTCCAAGTTAAACATGATTTAATGACTCGTAAATGTAAGTACACATTGATGGCCTAAGACACGAAACGAGCGGTTTGTGTGAGAAAACGAACAGTATTTATATAGTTTTACGTCGTGATACCACAGCCACGTCCAAGTGATCTTAGGGCGAGGGCGCTTTGGTCTGCGCAAGTGCTGGAAAGCGCCGGAAGTGATCTCTCGCACCGTCGCACATGTACGTCACTCATTGTTTACACAGAGATTTCAGAAGTGTTACCCTTCACTGTGAAGATCTAAACATATTTAGATATACAGGAAATTGCAATGGAAGACGATTTCGATATATCAATAGATATTATTTTTTTTCATCTCCACACAGAGATCATTTCCGCCTCTTGCGCAGACCGAAGCACCCGTGCCCTCAGATCACTTGGATGTTGCTGTGGTATCAAGAGGTAAAAACGATATAAATACTGTAAAGTAATAAAGCAACGTATGCTGATTGGTCCACCTCGCTGTTACCATAGAAACGTTTACCTTACTGGCGAACGGCTACCTACCGCGGTTGTTGTTGTAGGGGTTGCTCTGCATCAGGACGTAGACAGCCATACCTCAGCTTTCACGCTTTCCCACTTGAGAGTTTTCATTTACCATCCGAACCACATCGTCATATGTGACTTCAGGCAGGTTGCAGAGAGATTTGGTCCAGCGGTATCTATCGGACTCCACCATTGAAAAAGCTAACCGGAAGAGCCGTATCCCTACTAAAAGGAGCCCGATCTCATGAAAGTTAGTATCTATAGCACGAATGTCATTTCTCGTGCCATTTATACGCCAAAAAGTTTAAAGACTCCAAGATAAAATTAGGAACCTCTAAAATAGCATAATAGAGGAACGTAACTATATGGAAAGGAATGGATTAAAAAAATATAAAACTTTTTCAATTCAATAACTCTTGTTATCAGCTTTGCACCAATGCCGTTTCTCTTTCAGCCTCAATGCTGGCATGAAAACGTTTCATTTTGCACCGCATTTGTCCTTGTTTCTCACAGAAGTTGCTGACATCCTGAATCGTAACCTTTCAAACGGAGTGAAGAAACAGTGCTGTGCCATTCAGAAGGCAGACAGCTCATTAGGAGAGAGAGCGTCAACCTTTGCATGGCTGATAATGATTCAGCTGTCATTACCGTGTCACTTTTCAGAATAGAAATCACAATAATCAGGTCTGTCAAATGTTCCCCATAAGAAGCAGAAACTTACACTCGCTGTCACCGCCAAGAATGACATGCATAATCAATCAACAATGCCTTGTCGAATGAGTCCTAATTGAAATATTTAATTACAGCGATCCAAAGGCAAGCAAAATTTAAAGGAGTAATTAACCCAATATTCATGTAAATCAAAACCTGTATGCTGTTATTTTTTGACAACTCTTTTGCATGCAGCGACAGTTCATCGTGACCATTTCTAACAAGGACAAAAAAACACAACAAAACAATACAAGTAATATAAAACATAATGAAAGTGGACGTGTGCCTTATATTCAAAGTCTTCTGTTATTTTATGAGAGAAAAAAGTACCAAATTTGAGACAATTGCCAATCTCCCTTTCTTGTTTTTCACAACAAAATAGCTTTTGAGTTTGAAACAACATGAAATGACAGTGTTCATTTTTGCACTTCGCATCAGGAAGTTGATTACAATTTCATCAATGGATGGCATCAAGAATAAGAGCTACTATTTCCATTGATGAAATTGGATTAAATTCCTGGTTGTACATTAAAGAGAGAGCATTTTTAATCAGGAGGTTTATTCCAATTTCATCTATGCATGGCATCAAATGGAAACTATTTTACCAATATATTTGGAAAATGAATAAACCCAAACCATAAAATATAACAGCTCTTCTTACCTGTGTTGATATCATTCTAGCCCTGTAAACATGCTGGAGCACGTAATGGGCCTGCATTGGCATTATCCCTGGGATTGTTAATTATGGGAATTAAACACAAAAAAATATGTAAATGAATTATGAACCAGCAGGGGGCTCATTTGAGTCAGGTCTGAGATCATCAAACCGCTGGTGTCTCTTTTCACACGCAGCACTGATTGCACTTTTATAGGACATATTTTGGCTGGGGATCAAATTAATCTCATGTGATAAAGTGATGCAGTTACATAGTTTTATTCAACGTTGACGTGTAGAATTTTTAAGGTCTTGTATTCACATGGTTGGAGATCACTGTTGCTCATGTTTGAAGACTTTAATCCTTTAATTTACTTTGCACTGGTAGAAATGAATGGCTGCAATTGGAGTGAAGATGAAGGTCAAATCACGTCTCTTGTTGAGGAAAGGCTTTTACATTGTAAATGTGATTTTTCGAAGTTGTATAGGCTATAAAACAAGTTTGTAAAATAAAATTTTAGTTCTTTCTACATCAAAATGTATTTTTTAAAGGCCCGTTCACAACAAGAACAATAAACCAAGACATTCTGTTTATTCTAGCGCACACTGCAGTTATTTCATCTGCAGCTTTAAATCCTCGAGCTCTTTAAAGCAGGGTGGATTCTAATGGCTATCAAGGTATTTTAAAAAAAAATCGTTCTGAAAGTGATTCCAACGGTATTGTTTCTCTGTGCCGTTATCGTTATAGTTGTGGTGTGGACTCTGACAATCTTTTATATTTAGAATGATTTTTAGAACGATATCTTTATTGTTATAGTTATCGTCCTTGTTTAGCAGTCACTGTGGATAGTGGTTTTCCAAAGTTACTATCCACTCTTTCACTGGCCACATTGACACCGATACCATGGGGAAAAACTGCCATATAAATATTTTTAATATTATCTTATAATTTGGCAGAAGGAATATTAGGCTACTGACACTTTATGACCTAACACATGGATCCATTATACTGATACACATGCATGGGTTCACTTAAAACACAACTGTTTATGTGAATACTCGACCAAGCTGGCATTTTGAAATTATTTTGTGTGTTTGACTGTTTAAACACCAACAATATTCATCTGGAGCAAATTGAATTGAATTGCAGTCTAATTAAAAAACAACAACAACAATAAGTGGCTTGTTCAAGCACACATGTAATCTGGATTTGTCCCCTCAAATCGGCGTTTCGCTGTCCACCTCTGCTACTCTAATTACCTCTCATATTCCTCTGGCAGCAACATGACAGGCTGTCAGCCGTAAGAGACAGAAATGCACCTGTGAGCTGAGAGAATAAATCACCTTTTGACTCCCTCTGTGTCTATAACAAAAGGGCATCCGACCTGAAGACAGCAGCGCAGCGGGAAGATCCGTGACCTTGTTGCTCATTATCTTTATGCGAGAGAATTATCTAATTAAACCTCAGTAGCCCATTAGCAAAAAACAAAAATGAACTCTGTTTTGCATTCAGTTATTTAATTACTGAAGTCCAAATTAAATTGCATATGAAATAAACTCTATTTTCTGGTGGTTTCTCAATTAAAACTTGCCAGAGTGCGGTGGTTGCAGGACATTGCTATACATTCACTATTTATTTTAATTGAATTATAAAATAGTGTAAAGGGCCGTTTATACGACACTGGAAAAAAAAGTGTTTTTTTACACGACAACACCGTTTTGGGGGCCTGAAAATGCAAAATTTTGAAAAAGGGGATTCAAAGCGCAAGTTTTTTGAAAATGATACAACTACAAAAACGGTGACGTCATGCATATAAGTATTACGCGTTGGTCTATAGACGTGTAATGTTTCCATACAAAATGACATCGCCAACTAGTGGCCTGGCATCAGAATACAGCGTTTTTAGTCGGTTTCGCAGATCTGTGTGAACAGGGATCGTTTTGACAACGTTGCATTTGTACGCTAAAAAACAACAACAACAACAAAAACGCAAAGGAAATACTATTCTGGTTTTAGTTCATCGTTGTCATGCAAACGAACCCTAAGTTATGCGTTTTAGCCATTCTTTTACACGACAACACCGTTGTGGGGGCCTGAAAATGCAAACATTTGAAAAAGGGGATTTAAAGCGCAAGTTTTTTGAAAATG